TACATAGTATATATCAGGAGTTTTTGAAAAGTAACTTACTAAAGATCACAAAATACGTTTTCCAGGAGAATGTTTTGTGTGGGGAGATACCATGTAAAGAAAAAAGTTTTAAATGTGAATGTCTTCAGAACATCCAATAACTCTCCATTTGCCAATCTCCGACTTCATATTGTTTTAAATCCTGTTACCCTTTTTTTAACGTGGTTATCGCCTGAAGGCTTTTGCATTTGGGACCCCTACTGTAGGGGTATAGGAGTCCTGGTGGCGCAGTGGTTCAGCCCTGGGCTGCTAACCAAAAGGTGGGAGGTTGGAACCCACCAGCCGCTCCTCTAGAAAAAGATGTGGCAATCTGCTTCTGTAAAGATTCCAAAACCAAACCCATTGCCTTCCAGTCGATTCTGAATCATAGTGACACTATTGGACAGAGTAGAACTGCTCCATAGGGTTATAATGTTTACAGAAGAGGTTACAATCTTTACAGAAGCCGACTGCTACATCTTTCTCCCGCTGAGCGGTTGGTGGGTTCAAACCGCCCACCTTTCAGTTAGCAGTCAAGCGCCCACCTTACAATTAGCAGCCCAGAGCTTAACCACTGCACCCACCAGCGCTCCTTCCCAGCCTAGGGAACCGCACGGGGCAGTTCTACTCAGTCCTATAGGTCGCTATGAGTCAGAGTCGACTCCATGGCAACGGGTTACACTATGGGAACGGGATTGAGTGGGAGAAAAAAGTGGCTAAAAGGCACCTTCCTCTGTGTTATTTTGCCTAGGGAACGCCCTATGATATCATAGAGTATAGTTAAGTCTTTACTTCTTAACGTGATTGTCAAAGGATAACCGTTTAGGCTGGTTAGAATAGACCCGAATTGTACTCCAGATCAAATTACTACTAATCCCACAAGGCCTTTCGGCAAGGGCGGCTGCGCGTTGCGCGCTCCTTCCTTCCCGGCCTCGTCGCCAAGGGAAGATCCGCCCCGCGGTGCTGTCGCTTGCGCTGGAAGAAGCGGAAGAAGATGGCGCTCACCAGGTGGGTTGTTGATTTGGGTCCTCGATACGGAAGGGTCTGAGACTATCCGTGTTTTTCATTTCTCTGTTCATACTCTCCGGGCGGGGACCCGGCCTTGGGAAGAGAGCGACTTGGACTAAGACCGTGGCTAGGCCCTCCTGCCAGCCGCCGCGGCGACTAGGCCTCGCCGAAGCTGAGGTGTTTCCTGAGCGTCTATCCCGGTTGAGATCGTCCCCTCCCTGAGGCCAAAGCCGTGGCGTGGCGAATAGTTCTCTGGCCTCAGATACTGAGGAGTCGCACGTGTGTTTCGCTTAAGCATCGTGGGGTATGTGGAGACCGCTACCTCTCAATGCGACGGCTTGGGTAGAAGAGATGTGCGCAGGGCAGTTGCTTATTTGTTTCGGCGGAGTGAAGGCGGCGGGAAGCGACTACCTGGCCTTTTGGCCGATTCCTGCTGAGGTCTTTCTGTCCATTCCATTTCCTGAAACAAGGACTCCTGAAGAAAGAGGCCCGGAAGTGAATAGAGATTTTAAACTATCCTCAGCCGTGGCCGCTGTTTGCTAATATGCGCCGCTGCTCCCGGCTTTAACTTTGGACCTTAGAACTTCTTCCCTAGATGGAACCGCTTCCGATTTTTGCTATTCGCGGTTGCCTTGGTAACCGTATGTAAAGGGTCCCCGCCTTTGAGAAAAAGATGCTCTAAGTGGGAGATCCCAAGAAGTTACATAACTCCTACTAGTGAGCGACCTTGCTGCCCCATTTAAGTAGAAAAACTTTTCCCTGCGAATTCAACAGGAAAAGTTTAGTGTCAAAGAGGGTTGTAACTTTGGACCTTAGAAGTAATCATTTTAGGACATCGACTTGAGCTCCCTTAACAAACCGTATTCTCACGTATTTTTCCTTGCAGATGACAATTATGAATCCGAAAAGTTTTATTCAGAAAATTCTTTTGGGAAGTGCTATGGGGTGCCTTGCCCCATCCTAAGGGTTGTGGTGTATACAGAAGGAAATCTGACAGTTTTTGGCTGCGGAGACAGTGGTGAGCAAGGCATACAAATATGAACAATTGAAGAACAACACAAACCATAAGTGTGTAAAGAGTTAGATGGAATGAGCTGTGTGGACTGGAGAGTTTCTTATAGTAAATGTTACAGGCAGTTGAGTGCCTTCTAGGTACAAGGCACTGTGATAGAGGCCAGTAGAGTTATGAGGGAAGTGTTTGTTTGTGGAAAAGATGGAATTGGAAATGGACGCAAAGGAAAAATACCAAAGATGTCATGGGTATTGTGTGCTTATTGTAGTGACACAATGTAATGTTTAAATGGCTAGTCTTTGGGACTACATAGCTTTCTGATTTTGTTGAATTGTTGTCTGCTGTCGAGTTGATTCCAACTCATAGTGACCCCGTGTGACAGAGTAGAACTGTCCAATAGGGTTTTGCAGGCTGTAGTCTACGGGAGCAGATCGCCAGGTCTTTTCCCCTACAGAGCCACTGGTGGGATCAAACTACCTACCTTTTGGTTAGCAGCCTAGTGCTTAACAGTTGCACCAACAGGGCTCGTTTTTGTTTAGTTAGTTCTAGCTGACTTGATTTTTAGAGATGGTCTCAAGTTTACAGGTGAGGTGTTATTTATGTTATCTCCAAGATCTACCAAGGAATCTTAACTGCAAGGTCTTGACATACTGATATGTCAGTCTTGGTGTCACCAGTGACTAATACTAAAGGTTTAAAGTCTCACTGATTTAATTTTCTATATTTGAGTGTATTTGAAGTTATGCATCTAATAACATCACTTGCATTTAATATGCTTTCTTTAGTAAAGGGAGAAGGGTAAACTAGGATTTCTCAATAGTGGCACTATTGACATTTTGGACTGGATAATTTGTTTTGTGGGGCTCCCTATGCGTGGTGGGATGTTCAGCAGCATCCTTGGCCTCTGTCCTCCAGATATTAGTGGCACTCCCCTCTCCCACCAAGTCCTAACAGTCAAAAACATCTCTAGACATTTCCAGATACCCCCTGGGGGGTAAAATTGCTACCAGTTGAGAACTGGTAGATTTACTGCTGTGCATATAACCAGCAGTCTATTTTATCTGTGTTATCTGAAGGTTGTTTGGAGCCCTGGGAGCACAGTGTCAAGCATTTAGCTGCTAACCAAAAGACTGGCAGTTTGAATCCACCAGCCGCTTCTTGGAAAGCCTATGGAGCAGTTCTGCTCTGTCCTATGGGTTGCTAACAGTTGGAATCCACTTGAAGGCAGTGAGTTTGTTTGTTTGTTTTTTTTAATTATCTCAAGGCCAGCCTCCCATCTCCTTGTGGGAGTGTTCGACTTTATGGAAATGTCATCCTTTTCAGGGAACAACAAAGTTAAGACCCTCTGGAAGGCTAGAGTAGGTTCTGACTGTAATTCAGGCTCTGTTACCTGTTTACTAGATTGTCAAAGCCCTTTGCTTCTCTGGCAGGCTGCCTGCCTTTTGATCATTTTTGTGATCAGTTCTTCCAACATAAGGTAAAGAAAAATAAAAAGAAATGAAACAGAAGTAATAATTTTGGTTTCTTTGTAGCTCTTTATCCTTATGTATTAGATACATATGGTTTACTGAAAATGACTTTGGTAGAAGCCTAAGACTTGTTGACTCTATTTATTTATTTGTTTATTCATTCATTTACTTAGTAAATATTTCTTAAAGTTCTACCATGTGCCATGCACTATTCTAGTGCTGGTTTTATAGCATTGAATCAGGCAAACTCCTTATCCTCATTGAGCTTACATACCAGTAAGGGAGACAGACTATGTATCAGTAAACAAATCAGTAATGCAATTTCAAATAAGTAGTAGAAGTAAAATAAAGAAAGATAAAGGGACAGAGAGTGACTCAGGGTGTGTGTGGGGGGGGGGCGGGTACTACTTTAACAGGGTGGTCACTAAGGAGGTATCATTGAGCAGAGACATGAAAGCTAAGAAGCAAGCCATGAAAAGATCTGGGTAAGAGTTTTCTGTAAAAGCATTATAGGAAAAATTGTTCTTAATAAATAGAATAATCTTTGGCACAGGGAATAGCATATGTCAAGATCCTGAGGTGTCTTGTTTAAGGAAAGGCAAGAAGGATGGTGGATTTGAGGGGTAGAATGAATTTATTTCTCTGCAGACATTTAAGGAGCCCCTGCTGTAAGCAAGACAATGCATAGGGACTTAGGGATGAAAGAAGCATAAGGCATGATTTCTGCCCTCAAGCTGCTCACCGTCTAGTGAGAGATGGATCAGTAAGTGAATAGGTGATTGCAGTACAGTAAGATAAATGTGACAGTAGTGTATGAAGAGGGTCTTATGGGAGCATACATGGGGGCAGTTAACACAAACGAGGGGAATCATGGAACAGCTCCAAATAATCAAACATTTATGGAACATGTATTGAACAGTGTCCAGACACTGTGCCAACTAGTTCATGGATTTTCTCATTTAATACAACCCTATGAGGTAGGTACTCTCATGACCTGTCTTTACCGACGAGAAACTGAGGTTTAGAAAGGTAAGTAACTTATCCAGGTTAATAAATTGCATAGAATTTGAACTCTGAGCTCTTAGCCACTGCATTACCAGAACCCCCCAGACTGGATTAGATCCCTCTGATATGTGCTCTCATAGCACCGTGTACTTTTCTCTTATCACTTAATATAATCTGTAACTATGGATTTCTGTGATGTGACTCTCTCTCCTGAGAGACTACAAGCTGTCTTTCACAGTGTTGTGGTTTCATCACCTGTCTAGCCAGTGGCCTGTACTTAAGCGATCCATAAACATTTTTGAATAAATGAATAAGCTTTACTGCTTATTCTCATATACTTACTACACAAGAATCATAACCCGTAAACTGAACCTGTTGCTGTTGAGTCAATTCTGACTCATAGCGACCCTACAGGACAGAGTAGAACTGCTCCATAGAGTTTCCAAGGAGTGCCTGGTGGATTCAAACTGCCAACCTTTTGGTTAGTAGTTGAACTCTTAACCACTACGCTACCAGGGTTTTCAAGAATCATAAGGCAATCAATTATTTTTTGCATGAAACATACTCATCTACTGAAATCTTCTTGTGATACTTTGGAGTATTGCTATAATATTTATAATACTTAAAAGTTGTCAAGAAATGTTTAGTAGAAAGGCTACTTTGATTAAAGAATAATAACTTACACCTTTAGGACTTCTACTTTGGTTCTTTGACCTCTTAAGTTTTAAGTTGCATTCTAAACTAAATACCCTTGGGGAAAAGCACTTAAATATGCAACTTGTGTTTTCTTTTTTTTATCCACGTCTTTATTGTACATTCACTACTTTAGTATTGACACTAAAGTAGTTGAAACTAAGGAGCCTAAGAGTAAAATAGATAAAAGTAAGGAATATAAGAATAAATAAGGATACTAAGAAAACCATATACTGGACTGTGATCCCTGGATAATTAAGAATGTTTACTTTCTTTTTAAAAGAGAAGAAATTTGGAAGCATAAAAGCTCAATATTTTGTCTATTATGTAAAATAAATGTTAATTCTTGATTCTAGATATCATATGCCTGCCTCCCTAGTCAGATGTTTTTACTGTATGTACTTCTTTCTTTCCAGGTATAATAAAATGACTGGTATTGAATACTGCCAGAAATCAGTAAAGTGTCTGCTGATTTGCTCAAAGGATAAAGTATTATAGGGAAAATTGTCTCTGGTGACCAAATTGTTGGGTGCCTTCAAGTCAATCCTGACTCATAGCGACCCCATGTGACAGAGTAGAACTGCACTATAGAGTTATCTTGGCTGTAATCTTTATGGAAGCACGTCACCTGTTTTTCTCCCGAGGAGCTACTGGGTAGTTTGAACCACGAAGCCAACCTTTGGGTTAGCAGCCACGCACTTAACCGTTTCACCACTAGGGCTTCTTTGATGACCAAGTTGTAGTAACCAAATTAAATGTGTTTTTTGTTGGTTTATTTAATTCTAACTTTTATTATCTTCCTTTATAGCTTTTTACCCGCACCAACTCAGCTATCTCAGGACCAGCTTGAGGCTGAAGAAAAGGCAAGATCCCAGAGATCACGGCAGACCTCACTGGTCTCCTCCAGAAGAGAACCTCCCCCATACGGGTACCGGAAAGGCTGGATACCGCGGTTATTAGAAGTAAATATGGATCTTCAGTTTGGATTTATTAAGTTCTTCTGAAATGTCATATAGAGCCCTTGTAAAATAAATTTAGACCCTAGAACCTCTGCTTATGAATGTCAATATGATAGAATTTCTGGTTGGAGCCCTTAAGACATATACTCCCCTCAGAAGATTGATCTTTTTTCTCTTCTTATCACTGCTCTGTGACCACTAGAGAATTGTGCCAGTTTATGCCTCTTCTTATGCCAAACTTTTCAACCTGTACAAAAGAAACTAACAAGCCCCTTATAAATCAAGGGATTATAGCACATGGGAAAAATTGGAGGAGTAAGAGGAAAAAAAAGAGTGAGTCAAGTGGATTTCATGTCCCCTCCCCCAGCGCGCGCGCGTGTGCGCACATGCGCGCACATACACACACACAGATCCTGAATTGACAACCTTCCTCCAGGGAAAACTCCAGCAACATTTTGTTTTCTGATTTCTTTCTCTGTAGGTATAGTGGAAAGAGGACTGATAAGGAGTTAAAAATAAATAAGTAGATAACTGATTTTGCATCATGGCTGTGCTACTTACTATTTGTGTGACCCTTACCTCTCTTAGCCTGTTTTGTAATCTTCTGTTTGAAAATGTTATTACATGCCTGATCTAATCTACAAATTAGATTAAATTTTAGGAGGTAGAAGAAAGATAACTGAATGGTTGATTTAGTGGGGTGAGAAAAGGAAGAATCTGCAATGATCCTCATATCTCTAGGCTGTTCCCAAAAAACAATCTTCCTTGGCACTGCCTATCCTTCTAAGTACTCAGGATCCTGTACTGGAATCAGTTCAATACATATTCCTTTCCCTAATTCCAGAGCAGCTTTCCCAAGCTTGAAAACCTGTCTTATCTAAGGAGAAAAGCAAACTTCAGAGACTTAAATATTTTGCCTCCCCAAGACCTCCTCCTCTTTCATCAAGCCTTTTGCCTCTCCTTTTCCCAGTATTCATTCTGACTCCTGCAGATTTTCTTCCACATCCCAAGGAGTATACCTTCCCTATTAGAAATTTTAAGTGCCTGTACTAATTTTTGCACCCAGTTATTTTCATTTTATCACTTCGTTATATTCTGTCTTTATATGATTATGATTGATATTTTACAGATCTGAAGGGCTCACGCCCCTAGGTTTTTATCATATGCATCCAAGCATTGAATATGGTGAACTAAGTATTTGTGGGATTGAAACTTGTTACTTAGAACCCCACAAGAAGACATCTGTATTCTTAAACTCTCCCGTGTTTGTCATTTCCCTGCCTACCAGTACACTTTATAGGTCTTAGAAGATGACCAGGCAACTACATCATATTGGGTCTTAACATACTCTCTAGGTTTATTTTCTCTCAGTTCTCCTGGTCCTTATTAAGTCTAGTGTGTGAAGGCCTGTCTGATTATAATTATTAAGGGATTTTTTGTTGTTTTGTTCTCGCTGATCATATAATTTGTGAGAAGCAGAGCAAAATGAAAGATCACCAAAGAAGCTATAATGTCCCCTTAAGTGGGATAGAGAGGTAGTGATTAGCATTATCTAATGGAGGAGTTGAGTGTTTCTTTTGAGGAATCATAGATAGTTTGGTCTATCAATAGATTGCAGAGTGGGGGTGGCAGGCATTATTTTACATACAATGGAAATCTCATCCTTGCTTCCATTTCAGCATTATGACACTGAGTTACTATTAGCTTTTTAAAATTATACTTGACTATTAAAGGTTTCATATATCCTGGTGGAATAGAATAGTTTATGTGAAAATCAAACTACCCTAAATGCTTCTTGGTGGGAGTGAATGTTCTGTTGAAGAAGGCATTTTGTTCTCATTTTCAAAATAAAAGCTGTGATTTTCTAGCAAGCTTAATGACCGCACAATGCCACATCTATGGTTCTGAAGTACTTATTATAGTTGGAGAACTCTAGCAAATCTGAGCGTGTGAGATTGTCAGCCTGGATACAGGTAGCACCTCTCATGGCAGTAATTTAACTATTTTTGCCTAATTTACAAGAAAATGTCTCTTTCAATTTTATTCTGTTTCAAATCTCTAGCAAATAAGCATGTTATACTGTATATCCTGGATCTAATGAAATAATTGTTTTAAGGAGGAGGTCTTAGAAAAGTGGATATTTTCATAAATTTTTTCATCACTCCCTCTAAATGAATAATATGTTATTTCTTAGTAGTGCTGATTTGGCTTTTTTCAGCTAAAAGAAAGGTAGCACAGTCTAGGGGGAGAAACAGCATTTTTTGGAGTCAAAAGACTTGGGTTCAAGTCCTACATGTGCTAGCTGCAAGACCTTGGGAAAATCACTTAATCTTTCTAAAGTAGAATTTTTTCCATATGAAGAAATTAGGCTCTTGAAAAATTCTAAGGATTAAATGAGGTAATATTATAAATTATAAGATACTGGCACAGTGGTTTAGCACTTGACTGCTAACCAAAAGGTCAGCGGTTCAAACCCACCAGTAGATCTACAAGAGAAAAGACCTGCGTTCTCCTCCTGTGAAGATCACAGCCTGGGAAACCCTATGGGGCAGTTCTACAATGTCGTGTAGGGCCGCTGTGAGTCAGAATCGATTCCACACAGCAATAACAAGCAAATATTACTAAATTTAACATAGCCATGTAAAAAGTATACTTAATATTCACGATTGTTAATCTACCTTTTTTGTAGCATTAAACTTCATTGACAGACTTTAGCTTGTTCTACTTTAGAAGTCTTAACACTCTTCTAAATAATCGTTTATACTAGTAATTGTTTATAATAGAAATGTGGATAAACTCATTCCTGGGTCCTTCCTACTCTCTGTTTGCTTTTCACTTAACAGCGAATACAAGATTTCATGTTAATAGAATCTGATTCCAAGAAAATAATTCTTTACATTTCTACCCTAACTATACCTGGACCTGACCACACCAAGAAAAATATGTGTAGTAAAACTAAAACCTTTGCCGTTTTAAACATTTTGTTAAGTTTTCTTCCTGCCATGTATATAAAATTCAGATTCTTAACCACAGCCTCAAAGCCCCTTCATGATCTGGTCTCTGTCTACCCACGTGACTTTATTGCCTCTGTGTCAGCTCCTCTGTCCTCAGTAAGCTCCACCTCCACTGGACTCTCTTTCCCTGGAACCTGCCAAGCTCATTTTTGCTGCAAGACCTTTACACTGCTGTTTGATCTGCCTAGAAAATGCTTCTCCCAGATCTTCCTGTGACTGGCTTCTCATCATTCAGGCCTTAGCTCACAAGTTACCTCTTCACAAAGGCTGTCTCAACCACCCTATAGAAAGTAGCCCCTCTTCCCCACTCTCTGTATTACCTTTGCAGCACTTATCACAAGCCAAAGATAGTGTTTATTTATATCTTGGCCCACGAGAATGTAAACTCCATGATATCAGAGACCTCTGTTTTGTTTATTGCTGTATCTCTTATTATCTAGTGTAATATTTGTTGAATGAATATATCTTGAATTGCAAATTATTAAATATTCACTTTCTTTCCTTTTTTTTTTAATGTGTAGGATTTTGGAGATGGGGGTGCTTTCCCAGAGATCCACGTGGCCCAGTATCCACTGGATATGGGACGAAAGAAAAAAATGTCCAATGCACTGGCCATTCAGGTGGATGCTGAAGGGAAAATTAAATATGATGCAATTGCTAGACAAGGACAGTCAAAAGACAAGGTAATTCTCATTAATTTTTCTCCCATTGATAAATGTTTCGTCAAGAATTTAAAAATATTGTGTGGAAATGATAAACCTCTTACCATTTAGTTTGTGTTGAAGTAGCAGTGAAGTATGCTTGGGTTAACTTCAGCATCCAGCAATGACTTTTTCCTATAGAATTCCCTAAATCCATGATAGCTTGTATATACTTAAGGTATTAATTTGTTGTAGACATTTATAATCTCGACTCCCTGAAATAATCAACTTTAATTTTGTCATAACCAGCTAACCAACTCGTTGCTGTCGAGTCAATTCTGACTCACAGTGACCCTATAGGACAGAGTAGAACTGCAGCATAGGGTTTCCAAGGCTGTAAATCTTTCTTCTGCAGAGCTGCTGGTGGGTTCGAACCACCAACCCTTCCATTAGCGGTCAAGCGCTTAACTACTGTGCCACCAGGGCTCCTTAATTTTATTATTGTCTCTTCTAATTGTCTTCCATATACTTACATAGTAATTACATGGATACTTAATTATTTTAATAGTTCATCTGAATATAGTAAATTACACAAACTTCTTTAGTCCTTGATTAAATACAAAACTGGCATTTGCCACTCAGATTTAGGATGGCCCAGCTTACTAAGTAATCGAAAGCCAAAAATAAAATTTACGTAAAATAATCCCATCACAGAACAGCTATCCTCGACCCAGGAACTATTTTTAAGAAGATCTAGATTTTTGTTTTTGTTTTTTTCTTATAAATAAATACTCCAAATAGAAGTAAAAGATCTCTGTAGGATTGAAGATGTTGGGAAAAATACTTGAGAGTCTTTAGTATCTGCCCTTTGGGCCTCTCTCTTCCTCTCCCTCTCTGTCTCCCTCCCATCACCACCCTCATTGCTCCCTCTAGCTACCACTTAATTTCCTTCATTTTACATTCAGGCTTCTTGCAAGAGTTGTTTTTTGACCTTTCCACTTCTTTACCTCCCTGTCACTTCTTTTTTTTTCTCCCTGTCACTTCTTAAACCACTGCAGTGTGGCCTCACCTCAACCAGTCTGCTGAGATAGCTCCCTGGCAAAGGTCTAAGACTTATTTTGTCACGACACATTCTCTGTCTAATTTATTCGCGTGGCTTCCATTGTCACTCATATGCTGATTACTGTCAGATCTATGTCTCTAGTCCAGTTTTTGCTCCTGGGATTTAGGTCCTTATACCTTACTGTCTATCAGAGCAGGTATATCTAGATTTGCCCAAAGTGCTACTTAATCAAATGAGTCATTTTTCCACATAGTTTACGTTCTGGAAATAATATCTTTTTAACTGTCAATACCAAAAACATGGGCATCATTCTTTGTTCCCCTTATTTTATTGATGTATGTTTCTAAATTACACAAGTAATATATTCTTATGGTAAAAGATAAAGGTAGTACATAAGTATATAGTCTTGCCTGCTCCTCCCACTTCACTACTGTTACTACAATGATGTATATCTTTCTACACCTTTTCTATGGATATTTATGTATATGTACTCCCACTTTACGTACACATATAAACATATACATCTTTTTTTTTTTTTTTAACCTCAGTGTGGTTTTAATATTCATAATTTCCTTTGGTCTCCTTTTTTTTTAAACTTAACAATGTGTTTAGAAGATTTTTGTTAGCACATATAAATCTACTTTATTTTTAAAAATCTCTATACAATTCCATGGTGCTGTTGTGCCCTAATTTTTTAAAGCATTGTTTTCCAGTTTTTTAGTATTGCAAACAATACTTTATTGAAGCTCCATATGCAAACATCTTTTTGCACATGAGTATTCGTGTAAAATAAATTCTTAGAAGTGGACTTATTGGGTCGAAGGATATTCCCATCTCAAATGTGACACGTACTGCCTGTATGTTCTCTAAAAATTCTTTGGTAACAATCGTTCCAGTTCTTTTGTTTCCCTCAGACCATGAATCTATCTTCTCTCCTTAACACTTCTCAAGTGTATTCCCTTCTCTGCTACTTAGTTCAGGCTGTAATCATTTCTTGCTTGATTTACTGCAACAGAGCCTGAACCCACTTTGCTATCTTCTTGCCTATGTGAAAAAACAAATTCATCTATGTCTGTCTGTCTCTCTCTTTCCCTCTCTCCGTCTTTCTCTTCTTCTACCATGGGCATGCCACTTAAAACCTTTCCATGGCTTCACATGATCTTTAGGATAAGGGCCAAACTCCTCTGGCATGCTCAACCCCCTGCTTACCTTTCTAGCCTCAACTCTCATGACCAAATACTGAAATCTAAAAATATACGGTCCAGTTTTAAACCATTCTATTTATTTGCAGCACAAAGTAATTTCAAGTGGTTGATAGAGAGGAAAAAACTTTCAGGTCATTCCCTAGAAATGCCTGCCATGAAGAACTACTTGCAGTTCCCCTAATGCAGTATATTCTCCCTTACCTTGAGAATTTTCCCCAGGTTTCCTCTGCCTGGAAAGTCCTATTCTTTGTTTGACTAAGTTCTTTTGCTTTCAAATCTCAACTCACTCTTCACTATTACAGGATCCTCTCCCTGATCATCCTTGGCTAGATTGTGTGTCCCTCCTCTCTACTCCCCATGTTTACTCTATCAGAGCTGTCATCACCTTTCACTATAATTATCTGTTCACTCATTATCTCTATGTCACTTGACTATAAGCTCTTTGAGGACAGGGATTATGTCTTCATCTTTTCCTCTCAGTACCTACTCTGACAGGAACACCTAGTGCCTGACAGCTTGACATGCAGGCATTCATCAGTGTTTTTTAGGTGAATGATAGCCATTTTCATTGTATAACAAAATTATTTCTCTTGAAGTCAATAAGGAAGCATAGTCAACTCCTGCAAAAGGAAAATAGGCCCCTATATATGTAGTACATATACTGGAAGGGCCTTCACTTGGCTCCAGCAGCCTTTGTTTTGGTACATCTCCCCTCCTTTGGGGTAATCACTGTTGTTTATTGGCATATGCTGCCTCTTCCATTTGTTAGGAAAAAGCAGCATTTTAGGGCAGTAAGTTAGTCTTGGCAGGTTGTCTTATTTTGAATGAAATATAGCTTTAGCTCATTTTGCATTACATTTCAGGACTGGAAACCAAGAATTTTATCTAATTTCTGGGAAATGTTGCAAAGTTTTTTCTTACTCCAATAATCGTCTAGGTCATTAGTGTATACTGAAAATAGAGTAGAGCTGTTAAAAGTGGGATGTTTATTTTTTAATAATTTCTGTATTCTGGTCAAATAAGGTCTTTAAGCATTGTTCATTTGTATAGTAAAAGCTTTCCATGTTTGTCTATGATTCAGCCACTAGAATGGAACATAACTGGTTGTGTATAGAGGTACCACTCTCAGGTTCATACAGCTTTTTGTTGTTGTTGTTAAAAGTGGATGGATTACTGCATGAAGTTTTAGAATGCATTTAATAATTTCGCATTAACTGAGTACCCACTATGTGTCATTGGCATTTGAGGTGGGGACACTTTTTGATTGGGACTTTCTTGATTGTTGTATAACGTTTAACATACCTCGCACTACCTATTAAATGCCCGTAGTGCCTCCCCCTGCCCTGCCCATTGTCTTAACCTAAGCATCCTCACACATTTACAAAGACTCAGGGCGGGGGGTGGGGAGGGTGTACTGGACGTGGCAGTGATACCTTATTTGAAAAACACTGATTTTCCTGTTAGTAAAAAAATAGGAATTGACTAGTAGAAGTACAAAATGGGATTGATAAAACTCATTGTCATTCTAGAGACTGATAAGCAGAGGTGCCAACATAGGATGAAGACAGTTTACTGGGATATTGAGTTTGTACTATGATGCAAAGATTTGTGATTTATTTCAGAGAGGTCTGGTAGTCTTCAGAAACCAGGGAGTTCTCACTGAAATACTAATAGTGAAAGAACAAGAGAGGTGAAGAATAAGACCAGATTCCAAGAGATAATATTCTAGGGCAAATTTAAGGCCATTGATCTCTCTACATGTAAAAAATAAATACTATATTTAAGACTTATTGATAATACAAAATCGGAAAGAAGAAGGTTTCCTGAAGTAAATCTTAATTAGAACTAAATGCCTTTTTTTTTTTAACTTGTGACCTGAGTGATAAATCTTGAAATAAAAGGCCTTGGTGTATGCATTTTTCCTTCTGAAATAGTTACATGAGAAATGTTGCATACATGATATTATCTAAAAGATGTCCCCCACGCTTTACTGTTCCACCCCCCGGAAAACAAACAGAAACAACAACTTTAAACTACCCCAAGATAAATTTTATGTTATTACCTTGTTGGCATGATCTTACAAACTAGCTAAACCTAAAGATAGTGTTTTCTTTCTACCTCTGAAATGGTAAATATATTGACAGGCTTTTTCTTTTCACCATTCAATTCTTTGCCAGTTTTTAGTACTAAGGAAAATATCTGTTTTGCAGATGAGTTAATTGCTTTATCTTGTTCACAGAGCTCATTTTTGCTCCTGATACCTTCAAGTACGTAATGTATTTTTCAGATAAGCCTCCCACCCTTTGCCTCCTGGGATATACTGAGTTTCTTCAGCACATTTGGTTCTTAGGTAGTAAAAATTTGGGGTTTTATAGTTAATTACCATGGAGGACTCTTGCTCTTCAGATGTCCTTCACTCAGCTTTGTGAGATGCTAGAATCTTATTGATGCTCATTTAAAGGGTTATTAACTTTGGAATACCCAAATAAGAAGCAGCAAATGACTCTTGTATGCTAAATTAGTATTGAGACTTTATGTTGTGCATATATGACTACCAGGGAGCTATTAGAATCCCTTCCTGTAATGATTGCTGTGTGAAAGTGATTACCCCTTCCTAGTCTTCGTATTATTTTCTAGAGTATTGTTAAATAATTTTCAGTATGTGACGGTGTAGGTTTTTCCATCCTGAAAGGAAAGACGACTTGCAAAGTCAGTTACTAGTTGTGTGACCTTAACATACGGAGCCTCAGTCTTCCCTTGTCACTGGAGTGAGCTTTGCAGTTCCTTTCAAAATGAACAGTCTTAGAGGAAGATGGCATTAATAGCTAATATATGAATAGTATGTTTTGTGCTAAGTCATCTACACTTATCATTCTTGCGAAAGACAAGCTAGAGATTTCAGTCTACAGTCATGAGATTATCTTTTTTGGGAAATCAACAACTTATATAGAAAGTTCTGCAGGGCCTAAAATATAAGCATATTTAGCATGGAATAGAGCTTCTCTAAAATTCATTCATGCAAAAAATGCCTCCTATGGACAAGGCATCGTTACAGGCACTGGAAATAGTTTAATGAACATGAGATTCCTTATCAGTAATATAGGTATAATCATTGTACATACCTCAGAGGGATGATATTGTTACTAGCTGCTCTCTAATTGGTTCCTACTCATGGCTACCTTATGTATAACAAAACGAAATGTTGCCCAGTCCTGCACCATCTTCATGGTTGTTGGTATAAATGCAGATATTGTGTCAGTCCACCTTACTGAGGGTTTCCCTAATTTTCACTGGCCCTCTACTTTACCAAACATGATGTTCTTTTCTAGCAACTAGTCTTTCCTCATGACGTGTCCAAGGTAAGCAAGTCGAAGTCTTGCCATCCTCTCTTCTAAGGAACATTCTGGTTGTATTTCTTCTAAGACTGATTTTTTCTTTTTATTTTAAAAAAAAAAAAA